CAGGCACGACAATAATTGCTGATGAGTGGCGCTCCTACCAAACACTTGATCTAACCTATCAACACATTTCCGTGAATCATTCCATTAATATATAATATACCAATCATCTAAAAAAACCGGAAAAACTAAAAATWAAATWAAATAGTGGTRTAGTGAATGTGGTATGGCCGATATGGGTGGAAAAGGACCTTATATTTTTTTATTCAGTTATTATACCATCACACAAACTTTGCTTYTAACGGGTAGATAAGCCGAAATGTTCACAWAATACTTGACTGTGCACTTGTYTTGTATTTTAAATATTTTATCCTTTTCGRTAAAATTTTCAAAAACATAATTTGTTTTATGTGGATAAGATAAGCCGGTACTTGATAGTGTCTACTGATAACAGCATAGTCCTATCACAGAATAGATTAAATTTATGATAATAAATAATAATATAATATTCAGTATAAATAAAAATTATTACAGAGCAGTCAGAAGTTCAAAATCAAAACACAGATCTACCTAGTTGTTTGTAATACGTAAGTACACTTCATTAGTTTTAGTTTTTACTTTTGTATTAAGAATTTCAAAATAGAAACAGTATAGCATGGTATAATAAACTTTCACTTTTCAGAAACGTTTCCCAAAATGTCGTTTCCGGCAAAAACCTTTTATAGATCATTTTCCACGTGCACTGTACAAAACGGAAAGAGAAATTTCAAAAACTTCATACTGTACAATCGAGGAACAAATCAGTTCAGAAAACAACAAGAAGAAAACCCTAATAAAGATTTTCAAATTACCAGTACTTAATACACATCTCRTTTACTTTTGAATTATAATAACTACTATAACTCAAGGCTGGGCATTAATGAGTTAAAAGTTAAAATTAAGTTAAAAAGTTAATTTAATTTTAATTAAGTTAATTAACTCGTTACTTTTTTTGTTGAGATTAACGTGTTAATTTTAAGTTAATTTTATTTGAAAGTATCTAAATTAAGTTAATTTTAGTGCAAACAATAATGCAAATTATTAATGAGGTTTTTATAGTATATTTATAATTTACTATTTTAATATGAATTTCCTGTAGACGWAAATAATATGAAAAATAACTTTWATAGTCATTATATGGGCTATATAATATCTACCTACACGTTTATCATTATAAATTTATTAAAGGTTTAACATTTGTGGTTTTATTTTTATTTAAAMATATAGTACAAACTACAAAGTAGGTAATTATATTTTTACTGATAATAATTGTTCATGTTGTGCTGAGCCTAGTCTTTAAAACTACACGGTGGCTGCATTTTGTCTAMTCAGTATAGAAAATATATTTGGGTGGTATAGGTACTGCCTGTTTGATTTTTAAGATTTATGTGAATCAATTGAAAATATTGGTATCTTAGCAGTTGGGAGAAAACTATTAAGGTGTTTTTTTTTTTGTTTTTTTTGGATATACCACTTGGGTAAATTGATTTGAGTATGAGTTCAGGACTAAGATTTATTTTGGAAAAGTAGGTTTTTTGATAGCTAGTTAATACTTTTATGTATCATTTAAAAAAATGTCCCCAGTATTTTTCTCGAGTGTAAAAAAACCAATATTATGTGGGCAATTTTTTATTTTCGCAAAATAGAAAAGTTTAACTTTAAACTAAGTTAAGTTACTTWTTTTTCAAAGTTAACTTTTAACTTAACGAGTTAACGAWAAAAATATGATTAACTTTTAATTTAACTTAACTTTATTATTTTAAAATAACTTAACGAGTTAAAAAAAATCGTTAAMTTGCCCAGCCTTGCAGTATAACTCATAATTAATCATCATTATTCTTTAAAAATCAGATTATGGAATACGAGACACCACCGTCAGGGTTGGCCGCAAAGTCATAACTATCAAAGAAAAAATTCCAGATATCATCGTTCCGGATTTGGATAATTTTAATGTAAGTGTTTWATAGTGTTCATAAATTAATGTTGAYGAGGTATAATATGTACTGTACTATTATGGCATTGCTTTCAGTTAAAGCCGTAYGTKTCCTACAGAGTTCCTGAAATTACCCAATCTAAATTTACAGCTAAAGATTTATTCAACGCTGTTTATCGCAAAAAAATTGTAGATGATTTTAAGAACAACAAGCTGAAGGAAAATTTTGAACCGATAGAACCCAGTGAAGAAGAATCATTAACACCTGAACAAGCTAAACTAAAAGCGAGGCAAACAGGCAGCGATATGTTTTCACAAGGCTGTTAAATTCAAACGCAWAGTTTGATTGATAGATTTTTGTATACATGTTGTTTTCAATTTAATAAAAATGTAGTTTTAATATGGTTTTTGTTTTCATATACATATCATTAAATCATTTATTGTATGGATCTAAAWGGTTTTATTAATATTTCAATAAATATGCTTTGTTTTATAGTGAAATTAAAAAGGWGCCTGATAACTTAACATAATAACATGAACTATGAAGCGTGTAATGTCTTTTAAAAATCGGTTTGTATTTTTAATAATTTCAATAAAATTTGTTATTTTAATAAATTAATGTGACTTATCATATTCTCTTAACATAAACATATCTGTTTTGTTTTGTATAATGAACATTAATCATAATGTATGGTTAGAAATCATTCATGGTTAGGTTTATGGCTTAATAGTGCATGATTATAAGCATAGGTACATATAAGTTAGTATATAAAGCACATATCGATATATATTTAATTATGATGCATCAAAATTGTGATTGTGTGGTGTCATAAAGAATTACCTACTGTGAATATTTTCTWACTATTTAAAAGACATTAWTATTCTGGTGCATATTTCATTAGTATCACTCAGCTTAGCCTCTCAATAGGCCTTCAAAAAAATCGACTGGAAAAATAATTTAAGCAATTTGGATTTACAAATCTTGTCCATTGAAGATGGTGTTTTCTAATCTAAGTACCTAGATAGTTGAGCATAAAATAAAAGTAATTTAAATAAATACTATGATTGAAAAAAAAAAACTGTTCTAGTTTCATCGGACATTTTTGTAAACAAGAATCGTGACCACTCACTATACCTTAAAAAGTAAAAATCTGGTTAGTAAGTATAGGTAAATGACAATCGACTGTCGGTTACAGGTAGGTCACTGTAATGCAGCGTTTCTTAACTTGGGATTCAGCGGAAATCACTTCAAGGCTCCAGGTGGAACTCAAGCGGTTTTCACGAAATTTTCAAGAAAATTACTTAAGTTTAGTAGCACCTATTGAGGGAAAAATGATTGTAGTTTGTTTATTAAATAACCTAACCTATATTGTACTTATATGGTCRTGTACATTCATTTTGAATTAGAAGAGTGATATCATAGACCATTAATAAGGCATCGTTGTTTCTTTTTATCACATTATTAACGTATTATGATTTTAACTTTGAGCATAGAAAAATGACTGAAGCCTCATGGTAAGTAAGTACCTACCTACATCATGACCAACAATGCTCTACATAATGAGTAATGGCCTACAAATACCAACCATTACTGAAGTATAGCAATACGAAATCGCATAAAATGTCATTCGAAACTTGCTCAAACCCGAACCCACTATTTTTTTATTTTTTTATAATTACCCTGTACCTACCTATATGTTATCTGTCACCATTCCCAACAACTTACCAAAAAGTGGCGTCAGTCGTTTCCTCCAAAAATCTTGATTTTCGTTTTATAAAAATAAAAACTAGGTAGATATATTATGTTATATTGTACGTAGTATTTATTTTACTTGGATAATTTTTATAAACTATTTATATCTCGGCCTAACCCTAGATCGTCGACTCACCTGGGCCCATCATACGCGTGTAAAATGACTTCAACTAAACCTCCGTCTTCGTATGCTCAAAAATTTACTAGTGAATACTTCTAATGTATAAAAAACCCATATCAAACCCATTTGGACTTAYGGTCTCCAACTCTGGGGAAATGCTAAAAAATCGAATATAAACCGAATCCAGGCTTTCCAAAACATTGCTTTAAGAAAACTAACAAACTCCTCCCCATATGTTTCAAATCATACCCTCCACACTGATTTGAAAATTAAATCTGTGAAAGAAGAAGCAATAATTTACTATAACAGATTCCACAATCGTCTATCCTCTCATTCCAATCCTCTTATTAAAGCTCTCTCAACAAATGCTATTCCTGGAAATCCTCCTAGACGCTTAAAACGCAAACGGTGTAGAGATCTTTTAACATAGAAATATTAATTCAAAACTAAAAGTGTCATCATTGGGTGGCTTCTTTCATCAAATTCTYATGTTACTAATTTAACTTATAGCAAATACYCTTATTGTACCTTTTAGGAACAGATTGTGTATATTTACATTATATACATTTATAACATGAGATATACATTAGTCAGTATAGTCTGTTATTAATTATAAAAAAAAGTTACTCGATTAAAAAATTATAATTTGAAATAGCATCACATGCGAAGGTTTTTTAAAGTCTGTAAGTTGTTTCACGCGCGGAATACAATGTCATATTATTATATATTTATAATATTTATTTAAATATTATTTTACGTACCTACATATTCATAATAATTTATTAAAACATCTATGATCTAAATCCCATATATGGCTATATATGACTATATATTTGACCAAATAAGTAAAGATACTTTTGAAAAAAAATTGMATTTCGTCTCGTGCACTTTTATTAGAAGTAGAACAACCAAAAGCACAGTATAAAACTGGCATCATGGATTTTCAAAATACCTATTTAAAAATTAAATATATTTATGAAAAAAATCGGTGTTTATAATATAATAATATTGTAGATGCATTTTCTAAAAATAGTGGCCTGACAAATTTCTGACTTGAATTTATCATCACAGTTGTCAGCTATCTAGGTAGTTTATTATCTATATCTGCGGCTGCGAATCTTCCAACAATTTGCTGGTGTTGCGTGGYCACGAGGTTCTCGACGCACCTGTAATCGTATCATTCACGATGCGCAAAAAATGTTTGTTCTCTTTTGAGACTGAGTAAATTTATATAATATAATGGAACTGTATTCAAAGGGTCCTTCGAGAAACAAACTGGGGGTGCTGGATATGTGTTGGCTCGAGACTTGAGAGTCCTCAAATCAAATCTGCAACACTACAGTCGTATCTTAAATACCTATCGTAATTCATAATAACTATATATATATATTTACCTACATTCTATAATTACACTGCACAGTCCACAGTGTCCACAACCAAGTTACCGCAATAAGTTACCTCAAAACGTCACGAATTTGATTAAAAACCATTTATTTCACAAATTGGATTGTTTCGATTACAATTTTACTCGTCGGTGAATATTCTAAGATGTACTTAAAACAAAAAACATAGTTATATAATATATATATAAAAAAAAAAAAACAAATAATCAATACAAATATGTCTAGATATATCATAATAAAAACATGATGTCTCGACTAATGAATGTTGAGTACTTGAGTGTGTTGTATAAAATATACTTAAAATCTGCGTGATAATAATTTTTTGTTCGCGTGTCTGGGATCTAAAAAAAAAAAAGTCATAACATGAACATCAGTATCAAGTGTAGATATGTATCTGAAACACAAAGCTGATAAGAAAACGCAAAACACAAAGGTCATAGTAACATTCATAACACACAAAAGTATATAACTCATAATCGGCTACAGCCCATCATTGATCATTGCTACCCAGAGTAGGGATGTGAACAAATGCACTCGAAACATAACCTGTCACACTACTTGTCGATGTTTAGCCCATTTTCGGCTATTTTCTATATAATACAACGTTGTATAGTAGTTGTAAATTTGTGATTCATGAAATGGAYTATTTATATTTTGATACTATTAGATTAAGTAGAATGACGCAGTACTTAAATAATAATTGGCTAAATACATAACTTAAATTTTATTTTTTTTGTCAAAATGTCGTGTTCAAATCTTCAGGAGTATCTGGTTCATGAATATGGCTGTCATTAATATCAGTTTGTGTTGATTTTGAATAATTCATTTTTACATCATATATTGTAGGGTGTCTCACGATGATCTGACGTATGGAATAACTTTTGTTTTATTCAATATTTTAAATTATTTTATTTTTGTCTATATAATTAATATACACTTACGCTACATTTTTAATATATTTTAGATTCTGAACGGAGTGATGAATGTATTGATTTTACAATGATGTGTTTTTTTATTTTTGTGTCTGTCATCACGTTTTGGGGCAGTAAAAGTGCTTCGATTTTTGACTTTARTACCTTGTTCGATCAGAAACAGAAAGTGAATCTAGTTAAAACTTTGGGGGATCAAAAGTAAAATTTTTACGCACAATCAGTTTTCAACAAAATCAATTTTGGTTTTTGATGTAACTTTAAAACAAAWGACTAWAGATACATGACATTTTTACCGATTGTTTATATAAGTATATTATAACCACCATGCAATTTTCAACAAATTTCGACTTAAGTTGAACTATTCATAGAAATATGCAATTTTCGATTATTATTATTTTTTTTTTAATTAATACCAATACAAATTTATTTATTGGGTAAAAAAGCTTTAAAATTTAATACAAGACTCCTTCCATATTTTTACAATAGAAGTTGAAATAAAATAAAAGAAATACATGGTCACAATTTTTTTTTACAAGCATTCAAAGTATGAATTTTGACAACATACGTAAAAATCACGAAAATTGGCAAATTATTTTAARCTAGAAATTCCTAAAAAATTTCCTTTTCAAATCTTTGATTTGATAATTTTTAATAATCTATAATATATCTTAGACAGATCTCCGCTCAGAATCGTTTTTCATTATAATAGTATTTATAATATCATTGGATTCAAATGTAATTCCATCCATTACAGCAACCCACTTGTAACCTACTGTACGAGCGATATCCACGCTACCAGAGCGACTTACCCGCTTTATATTAATTAAATTAGTTTGGAATATAATAACATTTTTAAAAATATGATTTTTGAAAATTTGCTAATATGAGTACCTAATATATTTCTAAAATTATTTACTTATCATATATAATATTAAAAATGTTTGTCATACATTTAATTAGCATAATAATTGTTTTTCGGATTRTTCTGAGACACCCTGTATGTTCCTATATAGGTACCTATACACTAAACATTTTTTTAATGCAACCCCAACTTATATTCCCCGAAACCGATTTTTACTGAAGTGAAAGTTACGAAAAATTAAACATCCATCATTTTCAGTAGTATTTGTTAATTTAAAATCCATTTTTAAAAACGCGCTACTCAAGTACAATGCTGGTTAAAGATTTGTACT